CCTAAAAGCAGGCCCTGGCCCAGCCCCTCAGCCCAGCATCACCGCCGCTGTTCACGGCCCAGCCCACCTCTTCTACGAGCAGCTCGTGGGGAACGAGCAGGAGGTCGCTGCTCCTGCGAGGTGCCCAATGAATTCCTAACTGTCCTTAATCTTGTAACTTTTTGCGCCTTCGTAGATTCACGAATGGCACGAAAATCTAGTTAGGCCTATTCAGGATCCTAATTTTAAGAATCTCAGCAAACGCATAAAAAAAAACCCTAAATGGGTGTTACTGAGTTGTGCCGTTGCCTCTGCGATAGCTCTCATAGCGCCTTGTAGGTAGGCAAACTCATGCATGCAGCGCAGGCGTGTACTGCGGGGTGGTCTATCCCGAATCTCGCAGGCGCTGAGACCCCCGAACAAATCTGAGAAAAAGATCTTTCTGGACGGTCCCATAGCGCATAAGCGACAAGACTTCTACACTGTCGACTCGCGGGTCAGCCGAACTCGTAACCCGTAACCAACCGGTAAAAGCTGACATTTATCCCAATCGACCGACACGACGCCGCCGCCTTCGGTCCTTCCTGGGGGAGGAGGGAGGACCCGCGCGCCGCGCGCCTCACGGGCCGCTTTATCCCGGATGGCTCACCCCGTCGTCGTCGAGGACGCCGCCGTCGGGAGGCCGCCGGGTCGGGCGGTGCCGGTGCTGACCTTATAATTGCAAGTCAGGCGTTTCGTAAGGGCCGCTGCTGAAGCTAGCAGGGGGGCAGCATGCAGAGGCTACACTAGCACTTCCCATAGCGGCGTGGCGGGGGTTGGCGGGAGGGAGGAGGCGCGGCGGGTGACGCGAGGGGCTTAACAGCGTGCGGGATGAAATAAATGATTGTTGATAACGCGTGACAATAAGTGCGGCCGGATGGGTTGCGGTTGCTACTTGCCCTCCCCTCCCCCCTCTCCCTCCACTCCGTTGCGTGCGGTTGGAGCTCCCCGCCTCGCCGCCGATCAGCTCAGGGGGGGCCGCCGGGGGGCCGTGGCTGTGGTCATGGCTCATCCAGGTGTGCGGACGGACGGCTCATCATGGCGTTTCACAGAAGCGGACGACGCGTGAGTGTGTGTGTGTGTGTGTGTGTGTGTTTTTATCGACGTAGTAATGATCTCAAGACCGTTTTCGTCAACTGTCCGAGGTGACTTTATGGTGTGTGCATGAAGATTCAGCTCTGATTTTAACGTCCGCGTCTGTTCATCGTCAGCTCAGCGTTTTATCCCGAAGCACGACACCAAAAACCTCTTTAACAACTCTCTGGAGCTCTCATGACTGGCGCCGGACGGCGGGACCGGCCGGCTGGCCGTTGGGGGGTCGGGGGCCGCCGTCGGCACTCGCAACCATCCGACCACCACCCATGAGCTCACGCCCTCACACCCACCCGCGCCGAACCACCGCACCAAACAGAACCTATACGCTTTCGCTGCGCCCGAACAAGTCAAAGGGGGTACGCAGGAGAGGAAGGGGGTGAGGGGGCCAAAGGTACGGCCAGGGGCCAGGCCAGCACACGCCAGCACGTGTGTTGCCCGTGTGCTACATACGCATCCACACGCGCGCGCGCACACGCACGCAGCGGTGGCTTCACCTGTCAATGGGTACCCCCCCCCCCCC